GAACGGCTGGAATAGCAACCAGGGATGTGGAAAGGCGCTGATCTCGGTAGACACGTGACCTCCGAAATCGTCTCCGATAGAGGCAGTGGGGGTGGGTGACGTGTTCACACCGTTACATCTCTAGGAGGAACAGAATCGCTGCCGACAGTCCAGCGCCTGCTTCACTCTGGGCCCAGCAGTCAATGGGGCGTGAGAGTCAAGTTACGGCCCCCCCATGCGCCTGCCAGCCCAGGGCCTTCACGGTCAATGGTTGGGGGCTTGTCAGTCACATTTCCTGGCTCCGGCGCCCGGCTCCGGGCAGCCAGTCTGAGTTCCAGAACCCCCTGACCGGAGAACATCTGCATCGCGCTGGTAACGTCCGAGCTTGGGGCCACTTGAAAAGTTCAATTCCTTATAAACGCTAGAGGCAGGACTGAACGCCGCCCCCCCGCCACACCCATTCCCCCTGCACCCCCTCTCCTGCACCACAATACCCACAGCTGGAGGGGCAGCAGGAGGGCAGATCCCCACGGGCTGGAGGAAGTCTCCATGGAGCAATGCCCATCTACGCCAGCCGTGCACTTTCCCTCCCCTTTCGGGAAGGCTGGGAAGTGCCTGGCCACTGGGTCTCTTCCCCCAGGAAGCCAGCAGGAGACACCGATCTCTGCTCAGATCTAAGCACACCCCAGAGAGGCTCCCAGCTGGACCCTCCAGCAGTGGCGGGTTCTGGGCAGGGATGCTTATGTCAAGATGCCCCCTCTCCCACCCTGTATCCGATCTCCAGAGCAGAGAGGGGGCACAACGGGACTGGGGATGGAATCTGCTGGCTGCCTTTGGGAGCGGTACGGGGTGAGCCTGCCTCAGCCCCGCTGCAGCACCACCCAGGAGCCACCTAGGAGCCCTGAGCCCACACCCTGAAACCCTGCCCCAGTCGAGAACCCCCTCCTGCATCTCAGCCTGGTGAAAGGGAGGGAGAAGGGATGGAGTGAGCACGGACAGGGCCTCAGAGGAGGTGGGGAAGGGGAATTTGGGGTTGAGGTAGCTTGGATTGCACTTAAAATTCAACAAGGGATCTTGTGTTCCGCCTGGGGGCCAGCCACAGGCATTCAGCCTCCCCTCGGCTCCAGGGGCATTTAGAAGATCTGGGCCCTGCTGCCCAACAAAGCAAACAGGGATCTGCCCCCCTTCGCAATTTCCCCTCCAGACTTCGCAGCCCAGGGGGAGGGCTGGGCTGCTCCAACCCAGCTCTGAGAGCAGCAGAACTTTGGCAGGGAGGGGGCCAGTCACCTGCCCACATCCAGCCGGCAGGATCCAGCACTGCCCGGGGAGCTACATGCTGCTGAAATGAAAGCATCAGGGGGCTAGTTCCCTGCACCTCGCGTCAGCCTCTACCCCGTGCAGAGGTACCACGAGCCAGGCTCAGCCGCGTCGCCCAGGGCGAGTCCCAACACAAGGTCCAGGCCAGGAGAAGCTGAGACGAGCAGCACCCTCGGTTTGCACCAAAATGACACGCACAAAATGCGCAGGCACGTGTTCGCACGCCCGGATTCTCAGAGCCACCCGTCTGTCCAGCTGGCGCTGCGGTGGGACAGCCAGTCAGCTCCCAGCCTCCGAAGAGCTCGCTGCGTGCGTTCCCCAATGCAGTCACAGCCGCCGGCCCAGTGAGAGTCGGGTACAATGACCAGAACCCAAACCCTTTACCATTTGTGTCCATCACAAAGGAGGCCAGGCCAGGGGAGTCCCTGGGTTTCTTGCTCACTTCTTGCTGATGAGAGCGTGCAGAGCAGGCGGCACTCGCACCCGAGGCCGCAGAGCGGCCAGATGCAGAAGCCGTCCCAGACGGACACGTTTCCAAGAGCCAGCAGAGGGAGCCCCAGGAGAAGCCGCTGTTTGGAACAGTGCCAAAGTCGGGCCCTCCTGCCCCCCCCCCCAACATGGGAAGAAACGGACGGTGCTGGTCTCGCGATCCCAGCGGCCCACGGGCCCCAGTGCTGGACTAACCGAGTTATCTGCCATGTGGGGCTGCCCCTTCCGGCTCGGGCTCCCTGCAGTAAGGGGCAGAACGCGCGGCCCGCAGCCAGTGGGGAGCCTCAGGGCAGCACCACGCTTAGGAACTCTGCCTCCTCCCTGAGCCTGGGCACGCCGGGAGGGCACGCCGGTGACTGCCACCAAGCCGCCTGCAGCCACCAAACCGCCCCTTCGGCAACTCACCTGCTGCAACAGCCTGCACACCCCTGTGGAGCCTCCCAGCCAGCAGCCCCTCCCCGTCCTGCCAGCGGGACCCCCACCCCATGAGATGGGCATGGCCAGGCACAGCTGACTCCTGGTGTTCCCACCACCTGGGTAGGCCACTGTGAACCATTCCCCTGCTGCGGTCACCAGGCTGGGCCCCAGAGAACGGGGAGGGGGCAGGGAAGATGCAGAGTGGGAGAAAGGGGGACCCAACGCCACCACCTGGGTAGGCCACTGTGAACCATTCCCCTGCTGCGGTCACCAGGCTGGGCCCCAGAGAACGGGGAGGGGGCAGGGAAGATGCAGAGTGGGAGAAAGGGGGACCCAACGCTGAGGCTGGCAGGTTAAGGGTCAGCCTCAAACCCTGCAGGCATGTGCCTGGGGGGGG